CTTCTCCAGGCTGAAGAGCCCCAGAGGGACAGCCCTCTGATCATCAGATAATTTTAAATTAAAAAATAATGACAATTTTTTAATGGTTTGTTAAATATGCTTTATTTTCTGGATTCAGACACTAGGCTTAGGATTGAACAAAACGCCAGGTATTCTAACATACTGACAATTCAAAAGAAGTACCAGCTGGTCTTAAGCTCTAAGTTTTTATCCAGTTCGTGTCTTTTCCAGTGCTAAGAAAACACACACTTGGAGGGTTTCAGGATGGAAATTTTACCGTTTTCACATAAGAAATGGTAAAATACTGTTTTCAAAAAAAGAATGTTTTTTATATATGGATGGGAATATAGGGATATGGTGATATATATCTCTCAGTGAATAAAACACAAAGCTATCTTTGCTGTAACTGTACATACCATACAATTATCAGAGAAAAATACCTGTGAATCTTTGTGTCTTGCGTTCATTACTGCGACGTAAATTTATCAGCTCAAATCAGAACCTGAATAACATCTCCAAAAGATAGCTGTGAAATCACAAAACTTCATGAGTTAGGAACAGCTAAAAATGTAGTCAACCCCCCCATTCTAGAGATGTTTTTGGGCACAGGCTCAAGCAGACCATTTTCACAGTCGCAGTCTTACAGCGTGAGGAATTTGTGAAAAGGCTGCCCAATTCTCAGCACTTGGGAATTGGGCAGCATTTAATAAACATATTATTGTGAATTTCCCAATTTGATGGTACAAAAGGTCTGTGAATCTGCACATCTGAGTGACAGGGCACTGTCATCTTACCACAGCAATAATGTTACTTACCTTTTAACATACGGGTCACTTGATTTTCTAGAGCTCCCCTTGGAATTGATATTTCAAAAAGAGTTGAAGAGGATTCCATCAAAGTGCCAAGACTAAGGAAGATACAATGGTCAGCATGTTAAGCACTTAACTAATACAGTAAATGCAGCTAAAATTTTTTCACTGTAACAGCACTGAGACAGTTTTCATGTACTGACTTTATGTGGCTTACAAGTGTTGAAATAACACCCATCAAAGAAATAAATACATCTCCACGTGGTAGCTGTGTCAATACAACTGAATTTCTACTACTTTTCTCTGCTAGTGTGAGAAGATGATTCCTACTCACAAAAATTAACATCTGAGGTTAAATGGCTAGCACTAATTAATTTTTTTTTTTTTGTAAAAAAACCAACAGTTTGATGTAGGACAAATGAGCTGTTAAGATCCAAGTTCTGGGTTTTGATACAAATGTGTTATTTCACCTTGCCTTTTGACAATCTGTACTAGATGTTTTCATTATTCATCCCATAGGTTTTAACTGGAATAAATACAGCACTAAGCCTGTCTATATATAAACCAATTTATAAGAACATTTATTGAATAGGAACTTCCTTCCTATATATGTTCTTTAGAAAGCATTAATATTTTTAAACTTACATAAAGCATCTGTATAAGTACAGTGTACAGTACCATAAGTGAGGCTGCCATGCTTGTCTGTCATGTTGAAATTCATTTACAAAATTCTGGTTCATTCTTCCATCTCTGCTGAGGTTATTCATTAGATGGGTAACTGCTTTGTTCCTGTGTACTACTCATAGCAGATTGTGAGCAGTCTGGTATCTAAGCTCAGTGCCTGGGACTGCACAAACATAGAAGAAATACAGCTCTTAAGCTTACTTCAAATGTATTTTCTTATTCAAGTAACCATTTCATCAAAACAAGATGTAATATACAAGTTTATACAACAATTTGTCACTTTAGCAACAAGATTCAAAAAACAGACAAAATGAAGATTGACAAAAATGTACACAGAGTTGATGAAATTATAATCAAGAGAAGAGACAGCATCTGCAGAAGCAGAACAACTGCAAGAAAATAGGCCTCCAATACTAGCTAAAAAGAAAAAGCAGAAATCTTTATTATAACTGCTAATTCAGCATTGCTGTTGCTCAGATCCACATCTCTCCAGGAGGTGGAGTAGCAGCTGTACAGATACTGCTTCAACCTAATGTTACCTTGTAAAACCTTAATTGTCTTTTTGCATCAGAGCAAGTCTTGGTTTTTTTGTTATTTTACTTCTTCATACAATGGATACTTTATGAATACTTTATGAATACTTTATGAATACTGAATAATTCCATCCATGTGTATGGTGATGATGTCAAGTGCTTGCTTGAATCTCCCCACAAGCAGACTAATGGAAAAGCTCACCAGGAATTTTGTATCACAATACCATATAAAGCAAATTCCTTTCTGAAAAGCCATTTCTGGTAGCATGGAGATTATCTTATTGAACTTGGGGCCTAGAAGCCATGTATTTGTTGTGTGCTAGACTGTAACAGCAGTTACGCCTTCTGAATCTTCTGCAAACATACTAGACTGCTACTTTTTTAATCTCAAAAGATATCTAAAACCAGATGAACCAAATTTAGTTGTGCATTAGGCCACTTAAGAGACGTTTTCGCTAATGACTTAACATATTCATGTAGATATTCAAGAAATATTAATTTTAATGTATGCAACTTCATACAATATTCCTTTTATAATGTTAAGTTATTGCTCATAAACTGAAATTATTACTTTTTTATATTATTTGGAGGCTGAATCCTAAGACCATCAGAATAAACAAAACTCTTCCTCTTATAATACATCCTGCAAATCACTGTTCCTGTGAACAATGAAGACAGATGCATGCTTAACTACAGCCTGGATGTTATAATAAGGAGCAAATTAATTTCTCACATTTACAAGGAATAAATAATGTCTTTTTTATTGCAAATGTGTGCCTGCATTCATGTACATGCACTACAACATCACTTTCTAGCTTAGAAGATACATCTCACATTGGAAAAATAGAGAATGAACAATGCATGATTTACTGGCTGTTGCTCAAGCCTTGCCCATATTTTGGGAACAGAAATTGAAGCTGAAGAAGAATGATAGACATAGTGAAAACAACAGAACATGCAGAAATGGTAAGGCTAGCAAGCTATTCTTTCACACATAGAAGTATGGGTAGTTAATGGAACAGGTTCCTCAGTCACTGGGCGTTAGGAAGTAATCACTAGTAATGCTCTGCACATAGTTCATTATCTAGAATAATGTCATAGGCCAGCTGACCTGCAGATACCTTGCAGCCCTGCACTGCTAGCATATATACAGATAGGTATGCCTTGTCTTCACCTCATGCTAACCTTCAGGATATTGTTACAATACATAGAACATAATCAGTTTATGTCACCTCATGAGTTATTCTGCTTTTAAAGTTAAACAAATAAACACAAAATCCACCTTTAAGTTTTATCTTGGTTAAATATGTTTGAATTGTACAGTTGTTGTTCTCTTTGGGTATGTGTGCCTCATACTTCCACTATGTACTGAGTCCTGATTAAAGTTAGTCCAACTTTTATATCCACATATGCTGAAGGAAACTGACAAGTGCTGTGCTATTTCACATGTAAACAGCTGAAGGGTTTAGCCAGCAAATTCCACCAGCCATCATCTCTCAAAAAGGCCAGTGGGTTTCTTACCCTTAGAAGGGCATACCTGAATCCACCAGTGCTAGCAGTGATGCTGTCAGGGAACGTACTTGTTTTTTAGCTGGCCCAGCAGTTCAGTGGGAAGCTTTATGAGGTAGCATTTTGTCTCTGCTCAAAGCCAGCCAACTAGGAGACATGGTAAAGTTGCACTGCTTGCTGTTGTCACAGCAAACAAGGCACAAGTGTTTTCCTGCGCTGCCACGTTTGACCACTAGGTTGCCGCATCAGCTCATTCAGCTCAATGTAACACTTTAGTCAGGCCTGAGTATCCCTCAAGAATATTCTCCAGTACTTAAAATGTAATACTTCAAGATGCTATTAACAACAAGAACAGAATATTATTTTACCAAAAAGTTACAGCAGTATTTGCAAGTAAGCACTACATTTCCTAAGGACAAGATAAAAACACAAACATTCCTGCAGGTTCCTCTGGTATACAGTCATTTTTTTCCCTTGTAGAAACAAATATTTGGCCAAGAAACTGCAAATAATAGTGATAACCATACTTCAAGGGATAATGATGAATTTATTGTTTATAAGTAATAGGTTAAACTAAAAACAAAAATGCTAAAACCAAGTTGCATGGTGTGAAGTGATAGCACAATGACAGCAGAGCAGCAAGATCCCAGGCTGCAGTGAGTGAGGATTTGCTCAAACCCAACAGCAATAGACACAGAAATAAGGGATAGAAGCTACTTACCTTCAGAAAGCCTCAGGTATACAGGGATCTCCAGCAAGATGCTGTCACCTCCACTGCCAACCTTAAATGAGTTCTTGGAAGGGGTGGATCCTGGCTCTACTGTTCTGTTCACTCAGATACATTGCATGCACCTGAGCTCCCCTGGGTTGGTCCTGCCTTCCCATCAGATGCTCCATCACTGTTTCAGGTCATGGCTTGACAACTACATATAGTTTCTTAAAGGTAATACCTAAAACTGCCTAGAACCCTTCCAAAATTATTTCTCATGTACATATGTATTTCTAAAAATTAGAAGACTTATTTTGGAAAAGAAACTATTTTCCTGGGTATAAAATGCACAACTTTTTTCTAGGAATCCTAGGTGAGGCACAACTTCTAGAAGTACCGTAACACCACTACAGAGTTAACAAATTACGTTCACATTTAGTCAGATTAATGGTCCTTTGGTCTAATCTCTACCTGCTATTAGTGATGAAATAAATCTTGCCAATGTCAAAGAATTACAAGCAAGTCAGTTTTCTTCAGAGCAACAGAAAACCGCCCATGTTCTGAAGCATTCTGAAATAGAAGCTTCTGTAATAATTCTCCCCAGGCCCAAATTATTGTGAGATTTCATTTGCACCATTACAACAGATTATTTGTAGGAACAGCTACATACTGCTTTGCACAAAACTAGATTTTATGCTAGTATGAATATTTCTATTTCAACCATATGATTAAAATCCAGACAAAAAGCCCAGGTGATTTTTTTAAGCTAGATCTTCTGCATTTGCTTTCTTTCAGTGATCTTCCTTGAACAAGGCAAAGGATGCCCTGTAGCTGTAGAAGCAGCAGAGCTCAAGCTAAAAGGAGAAGCAAGATGTCAGGGAACCAGCAAAGGACAAAGATGACACTGCAGAGATTGTCCCAAAGATCCCCGGGAGCAGAGGGAACCTTAGTCCTGAGAACACCAACCAACCCAGTCCTGGAGCACAGGCCTCACTGAACAGCCTTCAGTAGCTGAGGCAAGGGCAGTCTGTTCCTCAAATAACAAAAGGGTAAGTGTGATGCATAGAGGGCAGCTCCCAAGAGGCAGTGTGGCCCAGGACCCTCAGCTCTCGGTGGCTCTAACAATCCAGGTCAGCTCCTCGCTGCATTCTCCCTTCTAAAACCATAACCTGACAGACTGGAGGATTCAGTAGGCACTTTGCTGAGGAAGGAGAAGAAATGCCAACCTCTGGCTATCCTCTATTCCACAGAGACCAGCATTCCCTTCTCTCCTAAGGATGCATTCATGATGTGTCTAGGACAAGTATGTACTATGTGTATTATTTTGATGACTGTAACAATGCCCAAATGTGTAAAACAAACAAATTAAGCCAAACTTTTTTAAAAAATCCCAAAGATTTACTAAATTTACAAATAGGATAAATAATATCTTAAGATATAGCTTTATAATTCATCTACTAAAATAACTTCAGTCTGCTGCATGTGTGGTGTGCTTTTTCATTATTGGTCTCCAGTTTTGCAATCCGAGATCCAAACTGTACAGCCCTTTTTGGCAGAATGCTTGCAGCTTTAAGGCCAAGTTCCATAGCTCCAAGACGCAGAAGTAGTTTCTCACCAATTCCTCGAGGTAAAGTTAAGTCTGCTTTTTCTGAGATGGGCAGCGAATTGAGGAATGAAACGACATCTTCATCAATAAAAGGAAACCTAAAGACATTGGGAAAAACAGATGTGCCTTAAACATTAGTGGCATGGTACTGAGGGAATTCTCCAGAGCAGCTATATTGTTTGAGAGGGTAGGTAAAAGATACTACAATTAAACTCAGAAGCCCAGAAGTTTTCAAATTTTTAAGTAACACCCAAAGATAACTTTAAAGGGTTAAAAAAAAAAGCTGTATAAAGCCACACCATAACTTTGAAACAAAAATGTGTGATTAAGGACATGCCTGGAAAGACACTGCTGGGCACAAAAACCTTTCATGCACTTGAGCAGCCTCTATTAGATAACAACTGAAAGATTTTTTTGCAAGTCAGCGAGTGGTAGTGTGGAGGAGGTAAACTCAAAAAAACCAATTCTTTAAGTATTCTGACTTAATGACATGGAAATGCATGGGATATCCATCTTGCTTTTATCACATGGACAAGAATATGCAGCCTTGTTGCTGGTGCATCACAGCCTCTCCAAGGCTGCGTTAGAAAGCTGTCATTCTCCAGAGTCACTCCCCAAGTTACTTCAACAGAACACTACAATGCTGAGAAGACTGCTGCACTTAAAATGATAAAACCCACTTGATTTTACTTTCTCCAATGTCTGTTGCTACTTCTTAAAACATCCAGATGGAAATCCAATGTTCATGTTGCTAGACTGCCTTAAGTAACTCTGCCATGGCATGACAGATTACCTTTTTTCCCCCCTCCAGAGAGAGCATCCTGACACAAATGGAACACAATCTGGAGACAAAAAAATGTGCAAACAAGTTTCAAATAAAGCTTTTTCTCAGACTGATAAAACTAGAGCCTAACCAGTAAAACCAGCTTGTTTCATATTACTATTACCTGGCTTCTTTTCCATGATCACCAATAATCCTGTCATCTCTACCAAGATTCCTAGAAGAAATGCGACCTAACTCCATTTCCAGTTCCTTATTCAGACCTTCCAGGCCACATTTTCTGAAGCAAACACGATGTCGGGAATACCCAGCAAGCTGTTCATCTGCTCCAATTCCTGTAAGCACAACCTAAGAAAAAAGAACAAAAGAAATTTTGTTAATACCTAGGGAGGCTAGTCATACATAATGGATCTTAGAACTACATATGTGAAAACAACATACAAGAAGAAAAGAAATACTCTTTGTAGCTTGAACAGTCATTCAGAACTATAATTACAAAAGATTGCAAGCAGTCATCTTGTCTGTCATTACTAATAGCTACTTTGTCACATAAATTGTGTGCCTGAAGAATATACCAAGTTTATGGATTTGTTCAATTGGATTAATAGTACTCACCTACTACTGCGTTAAGGCATTGAGAATCAAAGGCATTGACTTTCTTCCTAGTCACTACTACTTAGTCAAGCTTATTGAAAAGCCATTCACATAATGAAAGAACTGAATGCAGGCTTTAATTCCAGAATTACAAAAAGATTATCGCTATTGTATTCTGCCACTGAATTTCAGAAGCCTTGTGAATATTAAAGAACCCAGCTAATTTCTGAAACAGGGCTGCTTTCCCATTCACAAATTAAGCATAAGAAAGAAAACAAAAGACTATAAGAAACAATCAGTACCTTTGCAGGACTTCTGTATGGTTTCATTTCTCCTTGTTTATTAATATAACCCTCTCCTCTGGAAGCAAACCAGATTGCACAGCCAATGCTGTCATCCAAAACTGTATCCAGAGGATAAATCAAGTGATTTATGAATCGTTGTCTCATTTCTTGCAATTCCTTTAGTGTGACATTAATTTCCACAAAGTTCCAGGTTCTTGAAGGGTTAAGGGCTTCTAGTTCTTTCAGTCCTGCCCTACCAGTAATTCTGTCAGGAACATCAAAACAAGAAAAACGATCACCAATTTTAGCATCAAGATCTTCATGATTTTCTTGAACACGATGCAGATCGAGCTGCATTTCCTGGCTGCTGCAGTTTTTAGTGGTACCTGTTTGCTTAGTTTGTTCTTTTGGCATGAAAGCTACATTGAGGAGATCAATTGGTTCCTCCAAAGGAACATGTCGATCAGCAAGGGCTGCAATAACCATAGAATCAACACCACCAGAAAAGAGCACTGCAACATGAGCCTTTCTGGGAGAAGCATCCTTAACTTCTCTTGTTCTCTGATCTTCACCTCTAACTAGTAATAAAACTCGTCTCTTTACTGCCTCATCTAAAACATCAATGAACTGTTGGACTAGTTTTCTCTTGTGCTCCTCTGCAAGATATCCCTGAAGAGTTTCTACGGAAACCATGTGGCTTATGTTGCTAATATCAGTGCTTGCACACTCAGCTGAGGCTTCAGAAATGGTTCTGTTTAAGGGCATTACAGGTGCGCTGAGACATAGTTTTGACTCATTCATCGCAACGGTGATGTGATTTGGTAAGTCTTTTGAAACTTGATCCAGAATATCAATGAATATTTCTTCAGTTTTCTCTGTGCAACTGTACTTCCATGGAAACAACGTTAAAGACAATGATTTAGTTGTCACACAGTCTTTGAGATTAATTTTGAAAATTCCAGATGCTGGGACTTCTCGACATTGGTTACAAGATTCTGAATTCACACTTACAGATGTGAGACAGAAAACACTATTGCTCACATTACTGAACTGCCAAAGCAAACTACGACGACCAAAATAATCTCTACCAAACCATAAGCTATGTCCAGATGCTTGATAATAAATAAAAGACCATGGACCCCGAAGTGATGAGAAGAGTGATAAGAAGTCAGCTTCACTACTGCATAGTGCAAGATGATGAAACAAAACTTCAGTGTCATTCTCTGAATCTCCTACATTCATTCCATTAAAAATTTCTCCATTCCAAAGTAAAATATTGTTATTGACATCTTCCAGAGGCTGAGGAGTCATCAGTCCCCTCAGGTGAAGCACGTGGCCAGAGAAAAGGCACTCATAGGATGGCTTGGACACAGTCTTTATCAACTGTTGGCTGCTGTCTGGTCCTCTTCTTCTAAGATGGCAGTACAGATCCTCGTTCAAGTAATCACAAATAGTATGCTGGCTAGACAAGGCAACAACGCAACAAATACCACACATGGTGACTTGGAATTCAGATGGACTATTTCTTGACTTTAGTCTTCTCTGAATTTTCCAACTCTTGATGTGCTTTCTTTAATTGATCTAATGTATCTGTGTGATAAAAATACCAGAGTAAAGATTAAATGAGTTTATATCTAAGAAATGAGTAAGTCAGTTGTACAATTAAAGACAGGAAAACAAAACTAAGAAACAGATGTGTAACAGTATTGATCTATCACAACCATAGCTCACTGCAGTCTATTTGTCTTCAATTATAGAAACATCTTTTCCCCCTCAAGGAAATCCATACTACAAGTTTAATAATGTAAAGGAAAAGCCAATTATTGCCTATATAATCAATATGATTTATACATTTGTAGAAGAAAAGTGAATAGACAACATGTCAACATTGTAAACTCCGATCAAATAAGATATTGACAACTGTTCATTCCAGGAAGTAATTTTATAAATTTATTTCTAACACCTTTGTTCAATTTTCACATCTCTTTATCTTCCATTCCCTTATCTTGATAATCCCAAAAACTCATTCTCTCAACCACCTAAAGACTTCTAGACTTCTAGCTTTACTTCCAGTTTCATACTCATATTTTGAACTCATCCCATGAAATTTTAAGGGTTAACAATTAAAAAAAAAAGGAGAGGAATTAGCATGTACAGTTTCCCAAAGAGTGCTAAGAATAGTGATTCCTCAGTGGGAGAACTCCCTCCTGTATCTTCAGCACTTGCTGTTTTACCACTCATGCAAATCAAGCAGAAACCACATTTATCCAACTCAGAAAAGCAGGCACATCCAAAGTCCACTTAGTATCTAACATGCAGTTGCCAGCTTTTCTACTTTACTACAACTTGGAAACCCTTAACAGCTACAAAGATAGCTTTTAAACAGTTAAACTATTACCTTTTGCACCGCAAACTTACTTTTGCATTGAGACAGTGTTTCTGTTCGGTCTACAAGGAAGAATATATTGCTATTGGGTTGCTGCCTATAAACTTTCTGTAAAATAAAAACAATGCTGCATTAAGTAAAAGTAACATACACAGGCAACCACACTGCAGCAGAAATCCGTGTAAGTCCACTGAGATACCCTTCCCTTTCATGTCAGAAGGCTACGTTCTACTCTGCCATGAGCAACATCCTCATGTTGCACCAAAACATTTCAGGATTGACCCACAACCATTCTGCATTTTTCCTTTCCTCATACTTGGGGGATCATATTTTATTTTACATCATACTCACATGAAAAGTAGGAAGATTTTAACATAATCTGACCTACTCAAACATTATCATATAAAAATTCAGCTGAAACAAAAAGTAACATCTTCCGACACCACACTGTGTTACACTACACAAGTGTAAATAAACTCTCAATTGATGTGGAGAACAAAACATTTTGACACCAGACAGCAGACCACATCTGCATTAAAATCTTTAGCCCAACAACTGAAGATAACATATTTATATATGATTTTTTTGCCCTCTTGCCTCTATACAAATACATCTGATGCTAAAACGAAGTAGCCAAAAGAAATTTCATAATTACTTACCCTATTCTTCTTCAAATTGGAAAGCTCATCAACCACAACTTTCTGTTCTTTAATCTGAAAGACAAAAGACACATATCAATGTAATCATTAACAACAAACTACTGTGTTGCAATCCTGAAGATGAAAACCTTCACCCATATTTTAAAGACAGCTTGAAGAATTTATGTCACTGTTCCCTGAACAGACCACTAAAGTGAAAGTGAACATAAGAACGAAAAAGGTATTCAATTAGCCATTGCTCCAAGCATACTACAACTATTCAGACTACATAACTGAATTACAGTTAGCATGCTTATTTTGAAATCTAAGTTATGAATTCAACAATAAGCCAGTGAAGCAGTCTAAGTAACTGCTTTGGAAGGGGGTTATCTTGCATGGGTTGGCATTGCTCCCAGAGCCCAAAAGCAGTCATTACTGGGAAGCCAGAGTACCCCTAGCTGTTTAGAATCTGCGATTACTTGCCTCCCAACCTCCTCAGAAGAAACCAAGCAAACATGTAAATAACTATTAACAAAAACATCAAGCAACTTTGAGAAACGGAATTTATCTCCACATTACATTTTTTAATCTGATATTCTCCAGATTCAAAACAAAAACAGTAAAAGAAACAAACAAAAAGCCCCTACTAAATCAAAAACCCAACACCTCCCCTCCCCCCCCCCCCCAAAAGAAAAAAACCAACCAACACACAATTACACAATTGTAAGCAATTCTACTATACTGGAGTTTTTGCACAAAGTTCTTATGCTGGATCTACCACCACCAGTTCAGCTGCACTGACAGAAGGAGCCTGGTGTTCCTGTTTTCCTGGACAACAGCAGGCACCAATGACAAAGAGCAAGCAGGGGCCCTCCAAAAAAGCTGAAACACAGAGCAGAAGTGGTTCAGCACTCACTGCTTTCTGTAAGCACCAGACACACAGCTTGCTCCGTTCCTCCTTCCTTACTCCTGGAACTGGCACAGCTGGAGATAACTACTAGAGGGCTAGATTAGCCAAAATGAAAAGGGCACACAGAAAAGGCTGCTTTACCAGCAGCTACACCAGCACATGGCATTTGTTACTGCAACAGACAAGACAGCAGTGCTTATCTTCTGATGCACAATAAAGCCAGGCACCTCAGCCACGCAGCATATAAGCTGTGCTGGTACCCTCATTCTCCTGAGCCTCCTGAGTAAGCAAGGCACACCACTAATCGTTCGTAATTCAAGAGAGCGGGAAGGAAACGGCTTTCTGGTCGCGAGCAGCTCCCCAGGCCCGGCAGAGCTCACCCCGAGCAAAGATGAGGGCGCCGCTGCGAACAGCCCTGCTTCACAGGAGAGCCGGGCCACCCGCCTCCTCACCGGCCTTCCTCGCAACTTGCTCGGCACGTACAGACGACGCGGACGCTCCTTCAGCAATCACACCGAGTCCTCGGCATAGAAAGAACAGAAGCGCAGCGCGCTAGAAGGGCTCACAGCCGCTGAGCTGCCCGGCTCCCCACACGACAGAGGCCCCCACCGAGCCACAGCGCAGCTCAGCCTCAGGCAGGCTCTCCTCCCCTCCACACGTCCCGTAACAGGCTTAGCATTACCCTCCCTTCCTCAAAATCACACCTAGGACCATTCTGAGCTCACCCTCCGACTCAGCTCCTCTTTATGGCCCAGCTCGGCGCTCTCCTCCTCCTCCCGTCGCGACATAACCCCGCTTCCCTGGCCGGCCCGTCGCACAGCACTACACGCACAACGCGTGCGCCTCTCGGCGCGGAGCTTCCTGCTGCTACAGCGCACGCGCCACTAACGTTGCCGCGGCGGGTGCGCATGCGCGGTGGGGAGCTAGCCGTTAGCGCGTCGCGGCGCCGCTGACCGTTAGGCGCGTACGGCTGAGGTGGAGTTACCGCCGCTGCGGCTGTGAGGGCGGTGGGAGCGGCTTCTCCTGGTACTGGTCGCTGTCTGATCAGATCGCTGGCAGCATCCTGGCACAACGAAGGACTTCCCGCTAGTCCTGTGATTGTTGCCGTTTGCCACATGTGGTCTGTGAGGGCCCGGTGGGAAAGCTTTTTGGAATGAGGGCTGAAAAATGGTTCTCTGACAAGTAACAAAGCAGAAAATGAAGTGCTATCCTCTGAAATAGTGCAGTGGTGGCCCTGGGGTGTAACCAGGTGGCAGAATTTAGTTGATCTGTGTGGAGATTGCAAAAAAAGCCAGGTTTTGGATTCTTCATTAAATGACATGTTACAGTAACCAAAGATGCTGAGTGAATGCTTTATCATTCTGTGCTGACTTTGAAATTGCATTGGTGCTGTGGTTCAGGATGCAAGTTAGACATTGGAAAAGTAGCAGGGTATCTTCTTGAAGCTGACTTGGAGGCAGAACCGAGGAGTTGAGACCGCTCAGCCTGGGTGTTTCAAAACACACTTAAATGACAGGACTAAAAGAGTATGACACGTATGTGAGTCAGTGCTGACACCATGAATAGAACAGAGAAGTGCCTCACGTCCAGCCTGTGTAGTCAGCAGTGAGAGAAGCAGGCTGCTGCAAAGCTGCTGAGTGGAAGAGTGTGGAGAGCACTTGGTCAGGCTGATACAGGGCGTCGTCCAACTTCCCATCTCTTCGTGCTGAAATTGGTAAGTATGCAGTTTGAGACACTATGACAGGTAGTAGCAGATGGGGCTGTAAGAGATCTCTGGCATAGGAGGTGCTATATGGATGACGTGGCAAAAGTTAGGAATACAAAAATGTTTTGTGTTCAGAGCGATCTTTTTTTTATTTTTATTTTTCCTGATTGCAGTCTTTGTAACCAAAAATCAGTTAGGTAAGTGCATCATTCTGAGCATATATAAAATAAAACTGTGTAATCACTCACACAGGAGACCTTTTTCTGACCTGAGCTCATGCTTTGCTGGCAGGAAAGAGGCTTCTAAATTACTTGTGTTGGGGTTGCTTAAGTCCATGGAATTGTTAGAGGTGCTGTGTTCAGTAGTTCAGTTGAACCATTCCAATTTTATGCTAATGATGACTGGAATCCAACTCTTTGGTCTGTTGTATGTTACTACAGCGTTGGATTTTATCAGGCTCCTGAGCACACTGTTCTTGCCTATCCTGGGAGTGCCAGCCTTCTATTAAGGAAAAGCTGTTTGAGAGACAGCAGCAAAATTGGAGGTCTTTGAGAAAAAGCTGGAAGAAGCTTTAGCAGAGCATCCCCAGCTAGGTGTCCTAGGAAGTCTGAATCAGGCTCTCCACCTCCTCTTAGAAAATGTAATTCTTTCCCTGTTGCTTTCAAGCAGAGTCTCTTGTGTTTGGCTTTCACCTGAGCCCCTGTTGTAGTTGTGGGGCTGTGTAGGCAGGACATGCATTTGGATCTGGACCTTGACCCACTGACTTGTTTTCCAGCTGACCCCAGACACACCTTGTCAGTGGGACTTGCAGGGCCTGGTTACTCTGTCTAGACTTGACCCTGACTTGTTGATGACTTATCTTCTCATTTTTAC